GGTCTGTTTCTTTGCCAGTACCATGCTGTTTTTATCACAGTAGCTTTGTAGTATGGCTTCAAGGTGGGGATTGTGATACCCTCAGCCATGTCTCTGTTGCCTAGAATTGCTTTTGCTATATTCTAGGTCTCTTCTGGTTCCAAATGAATTTTTGGATTGTTTTCTCTAGTTCTATCTTTTCATGTTCTTATTGACTATTTGTATATCTTATTTGGAGAAAAACATAATCAAATCTTTTGCCCATTCTAAAATTGGTTCTTTTTGTTGTGTTATGAGTTCTTTATATATTATACTAATTCCTTATCAGATATAAAATAGCAAATATTTTCTCCTTTTCCCTGGGTTGCCTTTTCACTCTGTTTATAGTATCCTTTGAACACAAAAGTTTTTAATTTTAATGAAGTCAAATTTATTTATCTTTTGTTGCTTTTACTTTCAGTATCACATCAAAGAAATCACTATGAAATCCAGTGTTGCAAATACCCCCCATGTTATTTTCTAAGAGTTTTACAGTTTTAGCTTTTACTTCTAGGTAACTATTATTATTATTACTATTTATTTAGTAATTCTGGGGAATAAACCCAGGGTCCTGAGTACACTGGGAAAATACTCTACTACTGAAATACCTCCTCAGCCCTGGTGATTCATTTTGAGTGAATTTTTATATACCTCACTCTTTTGCATGTGGATATCCAGCAGGAGCTTATATTTTTAGGTCATTAAGGCTGCTGAGCCAATGTTAGTATTATAGCACATAATGAGACACTTTTCTTTGCCTTTCTCATTATAAATAACCAACAATGACCCCAACAATGACCCAGACCAGTACTTATAACAGCTTACCCTATAACCAGTGCCTGAGATCATATACTGGGGAGACTGTATCCAATGTACACAAGTTGGTAGTGTCTTGTACTACTGCTTGGTTTATAATAACCTATCACAAGCTGTCATTATGGGGACTGCCACAGTGGGTTCACCATTCCAATACTTTGGGACATTCATGAAATCTAAACTTCCGAGACAGACGACTTGCTTACTGAGCACTTAGGTCTAAAGTTCTTCATTAAGAAGATGAGTGTATTTGCTATAGAAAAACTCAGAAGGAAAGCAAGAATGCATATTCCTGAAAAATGTACATTTTTCCTATACAGCTGAGATCATACCGTATATGTAAGTTTTAGCTTTCTTTTTCCCCTTACCATGTCTTGAACATTTTCCAATGCCGTGAAAATGATAAACAACACTTCTAATGGCTGCCTAATATTTCATGATATGGATGTACTATGTACACAATAGTGCTCAATAGTTTTCTAGAGTTCATCCCTTTCTCTTTTTAGCCATGTGAAATTAACATCAGGATCCCATTATTTTTACTGCAAAGCACGGCAACCTCAGAAAGACTACCCGCCCCTCCCCGCCAGGCTTTCAAATGCATTGTCAGGTCACTTGTATTTGGGTCCTATCAGAAATCTCATCACGTACACTCCCATGCCGCAAAGGGTGTGTTGCCAACATAATTTTGCCTGCTGTGAAGTTCTAGATTCAGGGAGAAATAATTATTTGACCCCTTTTTCTCTTGGTTTGTGCCTGAGATATTTCCTTTTTCTTAGCACTGTCTCTGAATACTATTCTCTTGTTAATTTTCAGTTGACTTTTCTAGTCTCACTAGCTCCATGAAGTTTTTCTTTTCAACTACTCTAGCCTACATTAATATCTCCCTCCAGGGGACTGTCTGTACCTTCATTTTAGCATTTTATTGCCAACCACTTTGTATTATTCTTTTGTTTTCATAAACTTTAGATTATAAGTGCACGAAGAACAGAAATGCATCTTACAATTCTTTTCCACTCCCATGGCGCGAGTGAAACACATTAAAAATGTCATCCAATCAATTCTAGCTGGATGGAATAGAGTAGAGGTGTCAACTAATGTACTGCTTAAAAGGCTAAAGTAAGATTTTTCTTTTTGAGTAACAACAATAAAACATTTGGCTTACATTCAATATTTCAAGTAAGAATTTACATTTTATCAGTTTATAATGATCTAAATTGGATCAACTAGGTAAAAAATTGCTACTTACTCAGAATTCGTGCAAATCCAAAGTCACAGATCTTGATTATTCCTTGCTTAGTTATTAGAATGTTTTCAGGTTTTACATCTCTATGAATACACTGTAACATAATGTTTGATTATTTTTGAGCCATCAAAATGACAGATAATTTAACTTACTAGTTTAAGTGATGGATACATAGCTTATGATGGAAAAACAAATTTCCTTTATTTTTCTACAAGTTAAATTGACACTTATACATCTTATTGTACAAAAGAAAAATATATTGAAATGTTGCTACATTGTTGAAGAAATTAAAATTGTTATAAATAGATAAATAAAAACTATCTTTTTTTTCTGAAGAAGGGAGTATCACACAATTATTTCTTTCACTTTTATATTGGGTCTATAGCAACTAAAAGGGGTAAAACCCTGAATGAGCCCAGTCTCTATATATTTCTAATAAGAGCTGCTGCCACTCAAGAATCACAATTCATGTTGAATATTGCAGAGTTGAGACATCAGGAAAACATTTAAATGACAAGAAACACCAAAAGTTACTTATCACTAGAGTGACTGTATTACTTATCCACACTGGGGCACTTTCCAGTGTGAAAACAGCTCTGTGAAGGATGCCAGGAATCAGGTACAGACCTGGGTAAGATGGGATGCAGAGTCACCTGCTTGTCAAAGATTCCAATTTCCTTCCCAGTGAGCTGACCTGGCGTGATGAGGTATCCTGCAGTGCCACTTGAGGCCCTACCAGCAGGGGCTGGCCCACACTGAGGCTCTCCCACTCAGGGAGGCTCTGCTATCCTTTCTTCCATATGCAGTGGCCTCACCATTTGGCGCACCGCGGGCAGGCAGAACTGGGCAGGGGCAAGCGCAGGCTGAGTGTGTTCATCCTGATTCCAGAGGGCCTCCTCACGCTGGGGAGGTGCTGCGAATGAACAGCTTGGGGTCTACTCTTTGGGTCTGTATCTTTCCAGTTCTCCCAGCCCCCAAAAGAAAGTGGATGAAAATGATATTGGTCTTCCCATAACTCTGCACTCATAGAGAGCACTGAAATTTTCAAAGCACAACAATCCTGCGATTTCAGGTGGCCTCTGAGCGTCTACAGATTAAGTGTTGCAATAATCATTTCTGTCAGCCTCAGTTCTCTGCCACACTGTCAGTCTCTTTAGGTGTTTCTGTCACACTGACAATTCTGAAATGGTGTCTTTGGTTCTATAATAGCAGTCTAGGAAGAGAAAAAGCTAAACCCTTAATTCATTATAGGTCACAAAAATGGCACTGAGAACAAAACCTAGTTCCTACTTAGTCTCAGTTATTGTCAACTGCTTCATAATTTGTTGACCATCAGTTAAAAGAAAGTTTTTAGGCCTTGTAATGGTCTCAAGGCCTTAAATATTAATTTAAAAATACATTATTGGACTATAATACAAAACTATTTTGATATTTACTTTAATCGGATGTTTATGAGACTTGGATTAACACTCAGAGTTAGTAAAACTTTTAATAGTCAGTAATTTAATTAGAACTGGTATGTCCCTCAAGTGAATTTGTATCAAATTCTAGATTTTCTACACAATTACAGCATTGCAAAGTAAACAGATGTATAATGATACCTGTTTGTCTATTTAAGTATTTCTTAATCCAATCTAATATAAAGCCATGTGACATTTATAGTACTTATTTTTCAACCCCAAAATAGGCAAATAAGACACTGATACATCTTAAAGAAACAGAAAAAAATATTGGCATAGATATAAGAAAGAAAGGGAGTCAAAGCAGTCAGAACAGTAAGAAACAGCATGGACAATAGAGACATTCAGGCACAGCATTTGTTTTCTCCACTGCAAAGGCACATTCAGTGCAAAACCTTTGCAAGGCTGCTTGCAATCAGCTTATTTAAATATGTAAGTCTCTTGAACAGAAGAATTTAGTCAACTTGAATTTATTTTTGTGGATACCAGGGATCGAACTCGGGACCTTGCTCTTGCAAGGCAGATGGCAGAACCGCTGAGCCAAATCCCCGGTCCCTTTAACTTGGATTTTATACATAGCTTTTAGCAAACATTGCTCAGGTTGGGTTATTGTGGCTGATACACAATTTCATTTTTATTGGCTTACAAGCTGGCAAAAAGAGGTTTGTCCGTGGAATTTCTTTTTTTCTTGGTACCGGGGATCGAGCTCGGGTCCTTGCCCTTGCGCAGCAGGCGGCGAAACCACTGAACTAAATCCCTGGCCCCTATCCACGGAATTTCTACTCCCTCGCCCAGGCTGGGGATTGAACCCCGGTCCTCATGCATGCCAGGCATGTGCTCTATCACTGAGCTATATCCATCCTTGGGCTTATACATGCTATTTTAAGCCTTGAACTTTAAGAATCATTTCTGGAAACGTCCACACTGGAAAATTCTTCTTGTATGTTGATTGAATAATAGTTTTCTATATCTGAGAAGGTTGCTCTCTTTAACTGAGATTTTGAGAGCAAAGAGGTACCTTCTTTGACAACCAAAACATGCATGTCAATAAGATGCTGATGGATGTTGCAGCCTTTCACATTCATATTTCAGAAATCATTTTAGTTTTGCTATTATGGAATGAAGCTCTTTTTCTCTAATCAATACATCAAACATAAAATCTGTAGGTTTATAATAATATTAAGTGGATCACTTTACCTAAACCTCACTGTAGCAGTATTATAGGGTAAAATAGAACAAGATAAGTAGGTATTTTCTTAAGTCCAGTGCTTTTTACATTTAATGTGCACATGAATCATCTGGAACTTGAAGAAAAATGCAGATTCTAAGGCTAGGGTTGGTTCAGTTACATCATGTGGTTAGGATGCTAGAGGACCTGGGTTCAACCACCAGTAATAAATAAATAAATAAATAAATAAATAAATAAATAAATAAATAAGCAAGCAAGCAGATTCTGATTCCGTAGATCTGGAGTGGGCCTGTGATTCTGCATTTCTAATGGGCTCTCAAGCAATCTCTATGATCCACACTTTGAATAGCAAGGCCTTAATCCCTTTCCTACTTTATCCTCTACTGTCTTGCTTAGCATCATGACTCTGGAGATAATAAGGTACATATGGTCTCCACAGGTTGAAACTCAGGAGTCTTTAGTGACACAGTTCAGTCAGATTGCTTTTTTAATTTTTTATTCTTTGAGAATATCATTCCTTTAAAAATAAGAAGAGCATGAAGGTTTTAGATGTATTGTTGTAATAGCTTATATATGATTTAGATTTTTTCCCTTTGCATGCATTTTAGATAGTAGATAAAATAAAAAAGATAGATACACAAAGGCTTACCATAACATAATAAAATGAGATAGGTTCAAAAGTAATTTCCATTTTGGAGAAGTTAAGTTTGTTTAGAATTATCCATATGTAAAAGGGGTCATAGATTATCATTGGGAAGTTTTCAGTATTTTAAAGCTTAAGATAATGTTGTTCCAAGGAAAGAAATGATGGCAGTTGCACCAAGATACAATAATGTTTGGGTCTGCTGGAAACAACCAGCTAGGTAGGTTGATTGACACATCCATGTGTCCATCCATCCATCCAACCATCCATCCATCCAGTTATTCAGTAAATATTTACTGAGTACTTCTTATATATAAAATGTCCATGCTAAGCATTGAAGAGTTACACAGATAAATCAGTTTCAAACATTGCTTTCAATAATCTAGTACATAGGAAAGTGTCTAGTTTTATGAGGATAAAGTAAAAACACTTATGGTAGAAAAAATGTTTTAGCCATCCATGAAACTGCTGCAGTAACCTCAGGTGAACTTGATCTGTCCTATAGTGTGGTGGACAGCAACAGAGACAGGAGTTCAGTTCACAATCAACTTTAATAAGAACCTGAAAGAACCATTTGCATCATAAAACAGGCTTATGTATGTTGTGAACTAGATCTACTTTAATAGAAAATGAAGGAGTTTGAGTTATTCTAATGAAAACTTCACTGACTTTCTTTAAACTAAAAAAGCTTCCACAAGTACTGACATTTAGTTCTATGATCTTGTATTTTCTTTCTCAGCAATCTTAGACTATCACGGTAGACATTCTGTTGGCATCAGAGGTGACCATATGGGAATCTGTCTTGTTGTCTCAGCACTCTCTCTGTCTAGGAACCAACTCAAAAGGTCTAGAGATATTTTTTAAAAGTTATCAACCTAGCAAAAGCACCCACAAGCCAACCTGAGTAAGCTTCCAGTGGTCCAAGTTGGGAAAATCTGAACATCTGAGAGAACAATGACAGCAAAAGATTGAAAACAACAAATATATAAAATCCGTTTATAATGATGCCTCCACGCCCTTCATTGTTGGAGGTTGCTGGGATTCCTATTCATCACTTTGAATATTGACATGGAAAGGAAATCATCACATATTCATCTTGCTGTATTATTTTATAGTAGCCAGAGGCCATGAGTGTAATTTATTTTCCATACTATTCTAATTATAATGCAGAAGGAATGATAGAATTAGAAAATTAGCATCTCTTAATCTTAATAAAATACTGGATACAGGCAATAATCATCACTGGATGCTAGAACCATCAGGTAAAAAGATTGACAAAGAAATTGATAATGGAAGAGATAAAACTAATAACTCCTGAGCCTATGAATCAATATCGATATTATCAAAAGCAGGACAAGCAGATCTTATATGCCTCGAAATACTGATGTAAGAAGTGCACAGCACCACATATGAAATACTCTTGTCTAAAAAAAACTAAGCCTGAATGTGATCAAGGCTTTAGATACAAATACCAATTTACAGGAAATACAGGGGAAAGAACAAGTTAAATTATACATAGGAAACAACCAGCCAAAATTATTTCTGTAATATAGTAATATTGAAAGGGTGGTTCTTGAACCAGCAGCTTCAGTTTCATCCAGGAAAATGTTAAAAATACACATTTGCTTTCTGTACTGCACATGTAGGGTCAGATAGTGTAGGGGGGCAGGGCCTGCTTGCTGGATTTTACCAAGCCCTCCAGTTAACTCTGAGGGATGCCCAAGTTTGAGAACTATGACTGCAACATTAACGGCAGAGGAAGTTGAATTTTAAAAAATGGCAGAGGAAGCAGGCACTTTTATAGAATAAAAGACTTAAAAGATATAATAAAACAAAACAAAGTGCCATGGTGGATCACAATACAATACTGATAGTCTGAAAAATTATTTTAACTAATCTAAAAATAACCATAAGAATCATTTGTACCATTGCAAAAGGAAGCATTAAGTTTATACAAACTTTTAATCCATAAGAAATCAGTAACTTGATTCTTACTGAAAATGGAAAGGGGCCATGAATAATGAATTACTTTTCCTCATAACAATAACTTTTTTGTTTTGCTCTTCTGGTTTTTTCTTTCCTCTCATCTTTAGCTCTTCAAACAGAGCCCCAAGCCATTTAGGAGAAAAGTCATCATGGTGAAATTAATACATTAGAAAATGTTACTTACATTATGTTTATGACAGAAATTCAGAGCTTGAAGAGTCTGCCATAATACACTTTTGACCATTCCATCAGCCACTCTGTGGGAAGAAATAAAAAAGAAATGAAAATTCCTGGAATGGAGTTCCTGCAAAGAGAAGTGGCATAGTGGGGTGTGTCATGGTCATAAAGCACAGTGTAGAGGAAGTCTGAGAAATCTTTCTTTCAAAAATGTTTTAAGAAAAACTGCTTCATTTCCTTTTATTATAGTTCTGTCATTTTCTTTCGTAGTTTGAAATGGTTTACATCTGTGATGAAAATGTGCTGATGCTAATCTTGCTACCTCAGAATAACTACTGTCACTTAGGATGGTTGTCTCTTAGGCATCTCTGCCTTCTCTCTGCCTGCCTGCCTCTCTCTGCATTTAATTTTGACTCTAACTTTAAATAAATACATTAATATAACTCAAAAATTAAAAGGATAAAGTTATATCCATGAAGACTTCTCCCTCACCCTACATAGCCACCCATTTACCTTTGCAATTCCACTTTACTCTGTCTCTCTCTTTTTTTCCTTTCCTTTTGCCATGCTGGTGATGGAACCCAGGGCCTTGAGCCTTTTTTTTTTTTTTCGGTACCGGGGATCAAACTCAGGACCTTGCTTTTGCCAGGCAGGTGTGGTGCCATTGAGCTACATTCATGGCCCCCTTGGGCCTTCTAGACAAGTATTTTTTCAGCTATGGAGGATCTCGTTTTATAGGTGTATCATAATTTACTTAGTCCTCATGATGAGCAGTTAGGTTGAGCTAGTTTTTATTTCTAAAACACTTCAATGAACATCTGTAATCATTTGTCTTATTGCAATTGTACAATTATGTTCTTAAGATAAATTTTAGAAGTGGGATTTCCGGGACCAATGGTAGGTACATATTACATTTTGACCCTGCAGAGATGAACTTCAGGTAGACCTGAGACGTAGTTTTGAAGAGAAAAAGGTAAACTGGGAAGCCAGACCTTCACTTCATTGAGTTCATTTGGTAGAAAACACTCCAGCCTGTGTTGGAATTACTGTGTAATAGTTTGTGCACCTGATCAGCAGGTAGGTTTACAGCCAAAGGGAGGCCAGGGAGAATAAAGGTCTCATAAGACTGGGAGGCTGTGAGCTTCTTGTTCCTGGCAGAATTATCACTTTCTGTAGAAAATCTGGAAAAGATCATTGGCCAGTGTACTTTGCACTGGGGAACTAAGGATCTGTGAAACTTTTATTCTTTGGGAATTGAACTCAGGACCTTGGACTTGTGAGGTATGTGCAGCGCCACTGAGGTAAATCCCCGGTGAAACTTTTATTCTGTCTGAGAATATTCTACTTTATGTAACAATCTCTACAAAGTAAAGCAGCTGCATTCCCTTGAACTTTATTTTGGTGGTGCCTTGCGATTACCATATCACTGTCCTACGATGATGCCTTCACATTTACACACTGCCAAGCCACCCTCTTTTAGGAAGGTCAAGCCCATTTACACTCCCACTGCACATCTGTGCAGACAACTCCCTACCTCCCCAGTATCTTGCCAACATTTGGTTTTGCCAATGTTATGTTTGCCAATCTGTGGTTAGAATAAAAATATATTTCATTCTGCATTTTAATTGTTTGATTAATTTTCAGTGATTATTAATGTTCACATGATTATAGGATATTGTATTTCTTCTTTTCTGTATTTCCACTTCAGGGCCTTTATTGCTTTTTGAATGGCTGGTTTACTCTTTTCTTTCTCATTTACAAAGGCTCAGCATATATTAGTCTGTTACTTATGCTCTAAATATTTTTCTCAGTCTTTCAGCCCTTCTCTTGCAGATAGGTTAAATACATATTTTCAAAAATCTGAAACACAAAAGTTTCTTTTGCTAAGCATCAACTGTAAGTTTTTTAAATTGAAAATTGATAATTATTTAATATTCCAAACATATCTATCACTCAGATTTAATATTCTGTCATATTTGGATAATTACATAATATATTTAGATCACTTTTAAAAAACTGAATTTATGTAGGTATAGCTGGTCTTATAGAATCAGAGGATGGGCAGTGCATGGCTCAGTTAGGCACTAGTGACGAAATGCCACCATGTAAGTCTGAAATACATTCAGAGAAATGTAGGGAGGTATTTTTCTTGGAGCTGTTGTCTCGGATCACAATTATAGCAGCATGCTTTGGACATCAGCTGTCTGGTGGCCACCCTTGGACTTCAGTCCTTCTCATTAGTAATACTGCGAAAGTACCAATAGTTCTAAACTATTATTGTTAAACTATTTTCTACCTGAAATGTCTGTTTCCTGCACTGAATTCTGATATAAATTTACCCTTTCCTCTCTTTTACCTAGAGCCAAACCTGAGGCAACAATGATAAATATTTTTGAGGCAGAAAGAAGAATAGAGCTACTTTCACACTATAAGACAGACTGCCAGAATTCAAATCCTAGCTATGTTGTTCCTTCTTAGTTTTATAACCTCTGGCAAGTTATTTAAATTTTAGTTTTCCTCCTGTGTAAACATGGAATAATGTGAAATAATATCCCGTAAGTTTATTGGGAAACTTATCCCCGAAACATCTGGTCTCTAACACCTACATGGATTCATGAGATAAGGGTCTGGGATCAGATGAGGCCAGTAGATGGGACAAAGTGATGCAGAAGGATAAAAGAGTTCCTGAGGGAAGAAAGAACTGGAAGTGTGGGGAAGCCAGCAAAGATGGAGCATGAGAGAAGAAGATGCAAAGGTCCTTCAAAGTCTGCAGGGCCTGAGAGATCTAGATCATGGTAAAGAATCTGGATTGTACTCTAAACTAAAAGCCACTGAAAAGAGTCAAGCCAGGAAGTGATACAAGATGGAAAATGGATTTCTAGGGCAAAGTGTAGGGAGATAAATCAAGAGGTTAATTCAGCAATCCAAGCAATGTGGTGACTTACACTGGGGCAATAGTGGTGGAGAGGAGGGGACATGGATTTCAATCCTTGGGAGGGACACGGCCCTGTCCATGTAGGAACAGGATGCTGGGGAAGATCTAAGAGGCTACAGGGAGCTGGGAAAGGTAGGGGCTATGGTTCAGAAACTGTCATAACTGAGACTACCAGCAATAATAACATGGAATCAAGTGCAAATTAATGTGATAGGAAAGTCCTGAGCTACTGTCAAGGAAGAGGATGTTTAAAGAGATCTCATGGGGTCACAGCTTTTTGTTCCTTAGCTCAGACTCCAAGGAGGTGGAGTCTATCATTGGCAAAACAATCTACACAAAACAATAGTCTGGAACAAATACCACTCTTCTTACAAGAGAGAAGGTAGTCATCAAAGAGAATAGAGTCACAGTGATCAAATCAGAAAGATAGAGTACTGCAACACTATTCAGACATGGCAGCATTTTTCAAAGCATTCTGGGATGAAATAAAATCTCCAGTAGAAATCAATATCCAATGTTTAAATACCAATTCTTTACTACTGAAAAATTAGGTCAGTCTCATTAAAAAAAATAATGATGCTGAAAGATTTATATGTGTAACATTTTGCCACTATCTGAATATTGTCCCATTATATATTTCTCTAAATGAAATTCCTTGGCCAAAAGATAAAAAGTTTTAATATATGTCCATGCATACTGCCAGATTATCTGATTCATTACATTTTCTCTAGCTGTGAGTGAGAAGGCCTAATTTCATGGCTGGTGATGGTACTGAGCATATTGATTTTTGAAGAATCTCTGCCAAATTCAATAGGTGAGAAATGGTATTTCAAAAACATTTTTTATTTTTTTGATAGGAAAATAAATATGTTTTTATCAGTGTATTATTCTCCTCCCTTTAAAAATGATTTTTTCTTTTAGGTCCACCAGAATGTAAGCTCCCTAAGGTTAGGCTACTTTTTTGTATGTTTTGGTCAAGCTGTATTCTAAGCACTTAGCCAAGTACACGGTATGCATTCACTAAATCTTTTTTGAGCGAATACATTTTCTAATTGGGTGATAATCCTGTTAAAAATTTTATTTGTAAAATCTCCCTATAGATATAAAAATGTATTGATTTTGGCAAACAGTTTACCCAATTTGTCATTCATTTTTATTTTTTTATTTTTTGGTACTGGGGATTGAACTCGGGACCTTGCACTTGCAAGGCAGGCAGCGGAACTACTGAGGTAAATCCCCGGCCTTTTTGTCATTTATTTTTCAATTGTTACTTTTTGTGAAAGGCAATCCCTAAAGTTACTGATTTAAAATTTGTCAATTAATGTTCCTTTTCCCTCTTTTTATGAAATTTCTTCTGATTAGAATTTTATGCCATAAATAAATAAGTTGGGGAAACATTTTTTATAATAATGGATATTTTCATTTAGAAACATATGTTCACTGAAATGAAATCCTTTATATATTAAGCATGGGAGGTTTTTTTTTTGTCTCTTATTCAGTACAACTGTTATTAAAAATTCATTATTTTTTGCGAAAAGTGCTTATAGGTCAGATTTCAAATATTTCTCTCATAGATTTTTGCACGTGAAACTAAGCATGGAGCTGAAAGAATGTTTGGAGGTCCTCAATTCCATCCTCCTGTTGGGAGGGGAGCTGTGAAGAGCTGAAGGAATGTTTATTTAACAAGTCCACCCTTCATCAAGGGCAGGGGCTGAGCTAGCAGTAGCATTCAATTAAGTTTTGTAGTTGTCTTCAGGTGTCTGAACCATTATTTTTTATCTTTTATTGCTGTTGTTTACTGTTTGAATGGAATCTTTCTCTAGTAGATTTTCTAAAATGATGATTGCTACAAAAGCTGTTAATTTTTGAATGTGGAATTTGCTATAGGAGTCTGAATTGGATTCTCTTAATTCTGATAACTCTTTAGGTGAATCTCTTGGATTTTGTAGAACAATAATATCATGCAAAAAATTATAATCTTATTTCCACATGCTATATATTTTATTTATATTTCTTATTGCATTATACTGGCTAGAACTCTTAGAACAATGCTATATTTTGGTGGTGAAAATGGATGACTCTGCCTTAGTTCTCTAATTGAAGTTTCTCAAGTATTTTTTCCCATGAGCATAAAATTAGTCAGTTTGAAGAGGAGTCATGTGTATGAATAAGGAAATATTTTACAATCCTAGTTTTAATTTTTTTAAATAATCAGAAAAGTATGTTGAATTTATCAATTTCATCGACCACATGTATTTTCATTTAATTTATTAGTGAATTATATGAATATATTTCCTAATACCGAACCATGGGTTCACTCCTTGAATTTAGATAATCCAATATATAATTTAGCCTTAAAATGAATTTATATTTCAGGTTGGTCTTCCTAGTTATAGTTCCACTAGGTTAATATCTGATTGCCTTTTTTTTTTTTTGGTATCGGGGATTGAACTTGGGACCTTGTGCTTGTGAGGCAGGTGGCAGAACCACTGAGCTAAATCCCCGGTTCTGTTGATTGCCTTCTGAGCACATCTCGGCACTGGAGGTAGTCAGATGTATCTGGGTTGAAGGGGGAGTTGGGGTTAGGAATTGAAATTTGCCAGTTAATTCTACATAGGTTGAAACAAAGAACTGGCCATACAGAACTTCAGTTTCTAGATACTTACCCATTTGGGTTTCTTTCCAGCTCATTTAAAAGTGTATGATCACAGTATTCAAAAACTAAATGCATTTTCCTTTTTCTCCTGAACACCTCAATGAGGTTCACAAGGTTTTGATGTTTTAATTGCTGCAAAGGAATTGAAATGGAAAGTTCAGTGATCTGTTTCTAGTTATAGTTTCTCTCTAGACTCTTTATCATTTTAAGAACACAAGGTCTCTCTTGTTTGTGTGAATCTCTTGTGCCAAATTTTATTACAGTCCCTCACAGGAAAAACTGCTCTGCGTAAGAATAATGAAAACTCAAAAGTTGAAAGAAATTTAAGAATTTGTCTAATGTACTACAGTCAATGGTTATTAAACTGCTTATATGCCTCTGGTGATATGAAATAATGTTCCTAAGCTAACATACAACACTAAAATAAGAAAAATATTTTATAGAAATTCTAAATATCCAAGTAAAAAAAACAATAAAAATTGAGGAAATGGAATTATTGAGTGAAAAACTATTAAAAAAATCAATACCCACTTAGCTTACATTGTGTCATGGATTTAATGTAAATGTTAGCTAGATTTAAAAGCACTTGGGAGTCTAGCACTGGCTCAGTAATGTGAGATAGGATTAAACTGCTTATTCTAGGAATTCCCATCCTCTTTTTAAAATTTATTATATTTTCAGATCTGTTCTTTGATTCTGTTGCTCTCACACTTACATGTTTATTCTAAATCTGAAGCACTTCATTTGGCTTAATGATGTAAACCAAAGGAAAAAATGATGAAGTTACATAATCCATCATTAGTATGACTAAAACTTATCATCCAAACTAATGTAACAAGAAAGAGCCAGGATGGCCCCAGGAAAAGCAGCATATATGGTTATTCTGCCTAAAATTAGATGACCATATAATTTAGAATACACCCTAGGATACTTTTGAAAGGGGATGCTAACCAACTGGACACTGAGACAAAAACTACAAACCAGGATTGTCCTGGGAAAACCAAGATACACAATCTCTCCTATTTATAGCTCATCTTCCAACGCAGTAGACAAATCAACTTTACAAACCCTGTATCATTTACCCAGAAAGATATATAAAGAGAGAACACACAACATTTGGTATGCAGTAGACGTTTCTATGTCTCCCGCTATCTGAAAGGGCAGAAAGTCAAGAGTGGTGGAGATAAGTCTCATAGGTGACAAGTACTGTGTGCCGCAGCAAATCCACAGTATGGAAGTCAAGCTATTTCTCTGCCAGGTAGGTAAGGGATTCACAGGTGATACAGCTTGATGGAAGGTCACAGTCTGACCTGATCAAACCTCCTGCCTGTGGGGGTAGGCCAGCAATTTATATCTCTTTTGCAAATGAAGTTTATTTAGCTCAGGGAAACAGCAACTTCCCTAAAGTAAAACAGGTAGTAAGGAGGAGGAGGTGGTAAATCAAATTTAAATAACGGGAGTATGTGAGGAAAGTAAAGTCTATTTATCATGGAAGGAGTGTGTTCAAATTTAAATAACAGGAGTATGTGAGGGAAGTCAAGTTATCATGGAAGGAGTGTGTGCATGGCTTACATGGGTTCAGGAGAATGTACATTCTGAAAGCCATCACTAAGACCCAGCTGAAGTGAAATCTGGCTACTTTTTTTTTTTTTTTTGGTGATAGAGATCAAACTTGGGACCTTGCACTTGCAAGGCAGGTGCCAGAACTAAATCCCTGGCCGAAAAAAAAACTTGGCTACTTTTTACCTTAAAGTTCATTCACAAATTGGGACACTTGGAACCCAGAGGTCCTACCTGAATGTTAACTTTATTTGAAGACTTAGGAAAGGGAGGTAGAACAGTAAAAATATTATTTTATTATAAAATAACACTGTTCTGCCACCTGCTTTGCAAGCGTAAGGTCTGGAGTTCCATCCCTGGTACAAAAAAAGCCCCCCCAAAACAAAAAACCCCAAACAACAACAACAACAAACAATAAAGTAACACTGCCTGGTTCCAGACCCACTGTGTAATTTAGCACAGCTATTGGGGCCAGAGCTGGATGGCTTATCTGCGCCCTCTGCTGGCTAGGCAGTGAGACTAAACCTTTTAAAAATAATGGGTGTGTTGAAAACTGCGTATTAAATTACAATTTTATTTATTTATTTATTTATTTATTTATTTATTTATTTATTTATTTATTTATTTTGGTACCGGGAATCGAACTCAGGACCTTGTGCTTGCGAGGCAGGCGCTGGAACCACTGAGCTAAATGCCCGGCCGAACTACAATTTAAATAAAACACTAGAATGTATTAGTTGGGGAAACCTGCTGAAAATTATATTTGAAAGAGAGATAAAATGATTATCATTCCCCTTTGCAAACTGAATTTTTACAGTTTTCCTAAAAAACAGAAGACTCACTGTCAAATGAAGGTGGGCTGTGTGCTCTTGAGATCACAGGGTCTTGTTAATGGGAGTCCCACCCACCAGCAGCCTCTCCACTATTTGGAGGCTTATTAGAAATGTAGACTCTTGATGAGACGTGGTGGTGCACACCTGTGATCCCAGTTGCTCACGATGTTGAGATAGGAGGATGGCAAGCTCGAGCCCAGCTAGTACAGACAACTTAGTGAGACTCTTTCAAAAATAAAAACAGAAAAAGGGTCGGGACGTAGCTCAGTGATAGAGCACTTGCCTAGCATGTGTGAGGCTCTGCATTCAATTCCCACTGTTGAGGGAAATAAAAGGAGATTTTCAGGGCCCATTCCAGACTCCCTCGATTTGGTATTTCAACAAGATCTCCAAGAAATTCCTATGCACACTAACTTTGTAAAAATGAAGATTTTAGCTTGGGAAAAAAAATCTACATTGAGAGTTTATGAATCTTACATAACAAATTCTATCTAAGTTAAAATAACGATAACATAATGTGAAAAATGTATGGATTGCAGGATGTGATATTCAGGAGGCTGAAGAACCAGTGTAGTACAGGCAGAGACCAATCAATGCCAGTGCCTACAGGGGCACTGACTCAGGTAGTGCTGTGGGCTGCAGTTCTTTTGGTTGCTGGTTTGTTGGGAAAGTGTGTGGGGCAACGTCAGAGGAGGGCAGGGTGGGGGTAGTCCTAACACACTAGGGTTAGGGTTAGGACAGCGTGGATATTTACCAACTGGAATGGAAGTACATTATTATCATCTACTGCTGTGCTCATACATATCAGAAAAACAGCAAAGTGTCCAAAGTCCAAAGGGATAATCAATTTATTTCCCAAAGTTGCTGATACAGAGGAATTTAAGACCAATGGAACAGAAATATGACTTTAAAGTTTTTGGTATTTTTAGCATACATATTTCACCCAATACCTTGACTGTATAGACAGAGGTATGTAGAGAAAGTTAACCTACCTTCAACATGCGTATTTCTCTTAGTGCTATCTTCTTAACAACAGGATCATCTTCAGATTCCAAGAATTTTTTAATAGCTACTACTTGTCCAGAGGATTTGTTTCTGCATTTGAATACAACCCCATAAGACCCTTCTCCAATTTTAGCTAACTTTTCATACTTTTCCATTATGGTTAAAAGTTACTTAAATCGTTGTACTGATCGACTTGCAGTATAATATTGTACCTGGAAAATAAGATTGACTTGTCTTAATCAAGTTATAAAGGACAGTGTTCTCATAGTTCATATAAAAACTGTTTGCCCAGGTTGCCAAATGTTTATTTCCACTGATTAACTTTAAATCCATTTAAAAACACCTGGATGTTATTTTCCTAGTTGGTTTAGCCTATGTAGCTCTTCCAGCTATTACAAAGACTAAATGTATTATTTCTTATAATGAGTCAGTATTTACATCAGTTAAATTAAAAAATTTTGTGGAAAGGAACCTTATCCAATCTGTTGTTTACATTATCCTCAAATAAATGATTAAAATATGATGCAGTGAAAGGAAAGAAGGCAAAGGAAAAATTATGAGAAAAGAAAAAAATGGAAATGAAGTCTATGTAAATAGGGAAGGGTGGAGGGGGTGAAGGGCACACAGGTGTTGGGAGCAATGCTACATAATTCTAGGGAAAAATCATTTGGTTAGCCTAGTTCTCTTGCCTACAGCCAAGCTACAGAATAACTCCAGTTTGGCCTCCGGTCACAACTGAAGACTTCAGTGATCCAGTGATGCTGTGATTCTCCAGGACAAGAAACATCCTGGGAGAACAAACATCTGCTCAGTTCCTCCTTGTTCTTGGACTGTTAACATCTTGTTTACCCGAGAT